GTCAAAGACAAAGTGGATCTCTGACTTTGACCCTAGCTCTTGATGGAGGAGGTATATAAGGTTAAATAAATCAAATCAAAGCTAACAAATGAGTATTGCACCGGTATTTACATTTCTGTTAGCCCAGCAAATATGGAGGTGGAAGGAAACAAGACTCACATCATAGTACATGTAAAATATATATTTTGCTTCCTTGCGATTCTTTTTGAAGTCCACATATCAAATGTCAAGCTCAGCTATATGGGCAGATTGCTTCTTGATGATTATGGGGGATATATTGCCACAAGACGGGGCCCTTACTGACCTGTCAGTGTTCTAGTTTGGTTACAAAAACAAATGTATTGGTAGATGATTTGTCATCCTCGATCGATACTCCGGTACGCTCATGTAGGCTCTCTGCACCCCTGGAACATGTCTTAGCAAAATTGAAGGCATTAAGATAGCTGTTTAGTTGGTCACTGGTAAACAATCCTGACCATTGCTAGGCTGATACTGGTCCTTTGAAGGTTACAGAGGAGCGCCACCGACTTCAGAGCCAGTCAATTTTACCATTACATGACCGCCAGACTCTTTTGATGTACATTGAAAGACTGAACTCGTCTTCTTGTCTCGACCACAAGGTGGTGCTCACTAAGGCTTCGATTTTCCTATGGCATTTTCCAAAGGTGAAGAGAGCATTAGTATCAAAATGGAAAGGTTTGCAAAAGGAATGAAACTGAGAGGTTTGATTGATCTGGGGCCAAGTTAATGACTGTTTATGGATGATGAAAACAACAAATACAAAAATTCTGTGTGGATTTTCAGAAAACCTTCACATAGGAGAATCGCGTATGTTTAAACATTATTAGAGCTTTTGGATTTATTGAAATTATTACTTTTTTGTTAAAAACGCTTTTTTTATTTAAGCCCCAATAACCATATCATCAGCTTAATTACACTTAAGTTACACTGTATTGACTTTCCTCGAATTAAGCATAGGGAATTTCCTGCCTTTAATAGTTATAGATTACGTAAATGTACATATTTCAGTGGTCATTTTATTTTAGTGTTTTTCTCGCTTAAATAAGAGTGCTTAAATTTATAATTGCCAAACTGTTGTACAGTCAGTGACGTTGCTTGCAGTAAAGAATTTAGAGTTAATCTATAGTGATCATATATTGTACTTTCGGAGTATTAACAGAGACTGCAGTTTTCTTTTTAATAATTTTGGCGTCATCCTGTTAATCGGTCTGTCCATCAACAAAATGGCCGTCTGCAGTTTCTAACAAGTTTTCAACCAAATTTCCTGTAATTCCAAAGTTAAAGGTTACATCTACAGTTCCTGACTCTAGGTTTTCAACAAAGTTTCACAAAACGTCACACAAGTGTTCCTGATGCCCAGTTGAAAGTCAGTGTCAAAGAGAGGGCTACACAACCTTAATACCATGATGGACATGGATGTCTAAACTAGATATTTGGCCGCTTCCCAAGGTCAAAGTCATCACTTTTTCAAGAAAACTTGAGGTCAAGGTCACAATATTTCAAGACCACTGGAAGGTCAAGGTCATCAATCTTGTAAGACCACCAGAAGGTCAAGGTCATCAATCTTTAAGAGACCACTGGAAGGTCAAGGTCACCCGTTTAAAGTCAGGGTCACAGTTACAGAATTTATGCATGATTATAAGGAAATACGTTATTTGGCTTGTACTCAGGTTCCTGTTTTCAGACAAATTTCATGAAACTTCACACACTGGTATTGCCGACGTCATTCTCTCAAGAGAAGTAAATTGCAAGGTCACATGTTCTAGGTTGAGGTCAATTGTTACAGAACTTTTGCATGATGTTGGTTATATTGGGCTTTCCAAGCACTCCTGGCTAAAGTGTTCAGCCAGATTTTATGAAAATTTATGCATTTTTAGCTCACCTGGCTTTAAACAACTTCTTCTCAGTAACCAAAAGGCCTAGGTTGATAATATTTGACCAGAAGCATGCTGGGTTAAAGGGCTACCAAGTTTGTTCAAATAAATTACCTTCATCCATTTTCAAGGTCACAGGGGTCAAATATGTTTAAAACCTTTAAACGACTTCTGAATAACCGAGAGGGCTAGGGTGATGATATTTGGCCAGTAACATGCTGAAATGAAGGGCTACCAAGTTTGTTCAAATAAATGACCTTGATTTATATTCAAGGTCACAGGGGTCAAATATGATTAAAACCTTTAAACGACTTCTTCTGAATAACCTAGAGGCCTTGGGTGCTTAAATTTGGCCAGTAACATGCTGGGATAAAGGGCTACCAAGTTTGTTCAATTGAATGACCTTCGCCCTTTTCAAGGTCACAGCGGTCAATATATGTTGAAATCTTTAAATGATTTGTTCTGTATAACCAAAAGGTCCAGGGTAATGATATTTTGCTAGAGGCATGCTGGGTTGGAAGACTATAAACTCTGTTCAACCTAATGTCCTTGCATTGTTCGACATTCAAGGTCAGAGGCGTCATATGTTTAAATCTTTTGATAGGTTCTTATGAATCAAACACTGACATTCTGCCTGTTGTTGTATTTTAGTCCACTTTTAAGATTACATGTGTGAGATTAATACCAGGTGAGCGATTCAGGCCCATTGGGCCTCTTGTTTCTGACAGCTTTCTTAAGAGCCTATGTGAAGGTCAAATTCATATATTCAAGGTCAAGGTCACAGCTACAGAATCTTTGCATGAGGGTTATAAAAAATTGACAAGTTTCATAAAAACTCCCTGAACTTTTTTACACCATAGCCTGCACTGCTTGTTTGCACATACACACAAGATATTATTTTCTATGTCTATCACTGTTGTATTACATCAATCTATAGTTGTATCACACGATCAATCTGACTCCCACAATGATGTGGGCAGGCGTATAATGTACCAATTGTTATTCTACCTTAAATATAGTATCAAGTAAACTTACTGCTTAAAATAATTTAACAGGAGACAGAAAACAACTCGTATTTACATTTGTAATGGTTTTCTTGCATAGATTCAACTTATGGTGTGGAGCAGTATTGTCAATCTGTAAATAAATTATTCTATCAGATAGTTTTTCCTGACCCAAAAAAAAGAGAGAAAAAATGACACCAACTATGCTGTGAAAGAAATGGAGCCTGGGGTTTATATTCTCTTTTTGGTTAAAATGGCATCTTTGAGCCTAGGGGTGAAAGTTCACCATGGTAACAATAGTATTGTGGTCATCCTAAGGCCATGATTTTTATCTAGGTATTCAGAATAACTGTTCAAACAGAGATCACATGAAACCAAATGAGAGAGGCCCTGTCAGTGTGGTATTTGTTAGAATACAATTTTTAATGAGAAAGCCTCAACAACTGACATAAAAGATGTGAAGATGTGATATTTTATGAAAAGTTTTTCCAGATTTACATTTGTTCACTTAAAATTATTTGTGTTTTGTGCTACAGGCGACCGGAAGGATCAGCAGGAAAGTCTCCGGTTCTGGAGGAGCAGTTATCACGGAACCCAGACCATGTCGGAGGCTACAGACTCGCCAAGGCTACATTTGATGGAATGGAGTCCAAGTTTGGTCTATGTTTACCAAAATTCAAGTCTGCAGCATCTTGAAACTTTTAGGAGGATATCGTAACATAAATATTAAAAAAAAAAAATACTGGAAGAAAAAATGAAAATTACAGAAGAAGAAAAAAGTCTGCAACATGTTGAACTTGAAGACTTGGACTCAATGTTTATAGTTGTTTTTTACAAACCGTTATTTATTATATACAGTGTGACTAGATATGAAACTTCCACTTGGTCACCCCTAGAAAACCTTAATAGGATGACTCAAACAATTGGAAGTTTTCACCCACTTTGACTATGTAGGGAACTAAAGGACTACTGTTACCTTCAGTAGACCATGGAACACTTGGATGTGATACGATTTTACTGTTTTACTGGTCCAAGCTCTTGGAAGGGTGCAGCAAGTAGCGCAGGCTTGTTACTCGCTTTAATCTTTCAATCGTTTACCATGTCTGTTCTTCAGCGAATGTGTGATTCATGATTTTAGCTACTTTGATGACAATACTGCTACTGTTACTGTATTGCTCAAAATATTGTATTTTATGGTGGTGAGAGGTGTGCAGGGAGGTAATTGTAACAGCTATGATGATCTTGGAAGCAAGTGTTGAAAAGGTAATTGTAGCAACACGGGTTCTGTCAATGGGAGGACGTCTTTGAGGGGAGGGGGTAATTGGAACAGCTTTGATAAAAGCATATAAGGAATTGTTTGGGATTTAACAGTAATAGCTCTATAAAAAGATAAGAGGAAGTGTTGGGGGGGGGCAATTGTAATAGATCTGACAAACAGGGGGCAGGAAATCTTGGGGAAGTAATTGTAACAGATCTGACTGTTGTTACAGAAGGTGTAATTTTACGATGACCAGATGTTTTTGCAGTCTAAAAATCAATGCAGGTACCATTGTCAATGGAAATTGTCTCAAGGTATGTTTTGTTAAAGGGGCTGGTCGGGGGGAAAAATATAAAATAAATGGGTCTAAATGCGTTCTCTGGCCTTCCAAAAGTTATACCACGGCAATATGATGGTCGAGTTCTGCTTGCAATGTCCAGTTTTGACCACTGAAATCTCGGGGAAGCCCCGCGTAAATTTAGCGCAGATCTATTTTATATGTCACGTGGTTGCTTCGAAAGTGAGGCAGTGAAGATAACAACAATAGCAGGCCTTCATGTGCCATGTTGGACTCAACTAGCGGACAAGACAGCAATACTATACGTAAATAATTGTTTTCAAAGGTCATGTATGATGCACGTGTAGTAGTCCTACATATATGTTGTTGTTATATATAACGGTATTGATACCTCGTGCCTGTCATGACTTTTGCATGCATCTTTTCTTTCGCCGCAATGTTTACATTTGGCCTTGTTGATGACGCGCGTGCGGTAAAATTACATCACTGATCTGGGTCAATTGAGAGTTTTAGACTGTCAGGTGACGATTTAGGATTTCTTTAATATAATTATAATTTTTACTCTTAGGGAGTGAATTTCAGCAAAATTTGNAGAGTTTTAGACTGTCAGGTGACGGTTTAGGATTTCTTTAATATAATTATAATTTTTACTCTTATGGAGTGAATTTCAGCAAACTTTGTATCTGTATATTTCATAAGAAGGTATTTTAAACATGTGTATGCCATTTTAGAAAATATGACATTTTTTCCCCGACCAGCCCCTTTTATTAACTCTTGTGTTATGCACCATATAGCCACATCTGTGAAACCTTGAAGCTAATACTTTATTTGAAAATTTTTATTTCGCAAAACTGCCACAGTTTACACAATGATACATGTTATTGCTACCTAACTCTCAGTAGATACCAACGAAATGAAACGCAAAATCTGATTGGCTGACATTGGTGCAAAACTGCCGATCAGATTTACCAATCAATACTTTTATATGTTGCTGGCAAATATGAAGAAAAAAAACACATTTTGGAGATTATCAATGGATTTCAAAATATGGATCGGTACCTTCTACACACCAAAATTAATTCAATGATTATGTTACTTCCGAAGATCTATTAATGATCAATATGCAAAACAATATGACATGGTGTTTTCCAATAAAACACCAGAGTCATGTCACTGACATGTTACATATATTGGCTGACTAAACAGTGTTTTACTGATTTATAGATAATTTGTTGTATGTTCATACAGCACAACCAGTGAAATGTTAATGGTTTGACATTTTGATGACTAATACATATCATCACACATGACCTAAAAAAGAGTGTACACCAAGGCGGGAAATATGTCGCAGTTTGCAATCAAATCCCTGACGATTTTGGCAACACAACCTGGAGAAAACGTTATTAACTGCGCAACCATTTTGTTATCCTCAATATTTCAGGGGTTTTACTCCCATTCGTTCTCTGCACCCCTTGAATATGTCACGACAAAAACAAAGGCATGCGGCTAGCAATTGGATTGGTTTCAGGTAAAAAAAATCCTTACCAATCACTAGGCTGATACCTTTGAGGATTACAGAGGAGCAACACCTCACTTAAAAGCCAGTAAATTCTACTGGTATAATGCTGCCGCACAGTTCTCTTTCTACACATCAAGGAACAAACTGCATAGCCTAGTTTGTATTATTCACATCGTGGAGCATGTGGAGCGTTCATTATCGTCATGACGTCGGAGAGCGCAAGCCCAGAATTTTGAAAATATTTTTTTGTATCTGTTGGGAGTTAACGTGTATAAAATGCAAATATTGTTTGCCCATAAGTCCCCAATGTAAGCCAACAGTATACTTACTGGTACACTAATGTTATCCCCCTAAGATGATGTATTAAGATCGCTAATGGTATCCAAGGAAAATGCTGATATGTTTTATAGTAAATTAAGGACAGTTTTGTTAAAAATCTGATTCAGTGATATTCAATTTTTACAACCAACGGTGCTGGATCAATAAATAACATTGGAAATCTTTATTTTTGTTCTTTCCCTAATCAGTATTTACACAAAACTGGCCCTGTGGTATATCTGCCAATATTGCGTACTTTAATACAAATGTCCCTATGTTATCACCAGTGAAGACAAAACTTATTAAAACTTACATTTACATGAAATGTTTATCATTTCCGTCCGCAAATTTCGGCATTTATTACATATTTCTCCTGTTTATTTGCTAATTATTTCTCATTAATCGGCATTTATACAGCCAATTAAACAAGAAACATATACAAAGTTGTTGTTTCTGACGAGAATTAAGATGCTCATGAATGTGCCATAGGAAGAATACTTGTTTTCGTTAAAAAATAAATTAAAAAATCAGTGTTTTAAAACCTACCGGTAAGTGCAAGATGTTTTAGAGTTGTCTGTACTCTAGACTCTTCAAACTAACCACACACTGAGAAAAGGAATAAGTTTAATGTCAGTCATGGTAACTAAAAAATAATACTATGAAAGCAAGAATGTTTTGTCTTCTTTCTTTTTTCCTGTCCTGTTCGCAACAGTTGGTTTTTGCTGGTTTTTGCTATTGACTAGACAGTATCATTAATTTTTTGGGTCAACTTGGTTGTTTAAACTCTAAATACAGGTATGGTTTTGCACATAAATGCAAACCTTTCACCTAGAACTAAACCTACATGTGAAGTGATTCGAAAAGATCTTGGGGAAAACAAATATCTGGAAAAATAAAGGATGTAAGTTTACAGACACATGTATTTCTCAAAATTCACATCACAAGCTTACTAGAGTTATGAAAACTGGGCTCTGATTACCAGAAACATTTCTATATATAAAAATTGATGCGAATGTTTTTATTCACATTTATTAGAAGTGCTACTAAATTCATTGCATTGTGTAAAATAAGACATCCCACGGCTTGTCAATCATTGGGTCACCTGAGCTCTAGCAAGTCAAGTTCTACTGGGCTGATTTAAGTGAAACTTGGTAGGAATGATCGACTCATGGTCCTGACAAGATGTTGTTATTTTTCGGGTATATCAGAAATCCAATATGGCCGCCATGGCCGCCATTTTGAGAGTGAAAAAACTATTTTAAACTTAAAATCAATTTCTAATAGGCCGATTTAACTGAAACTCTGTCTAGGAATGATCAACTCATGGTCCTGACAAACTTACCTTAACATTATGCTTAACTTTTATTTACTCAAATTGGTAGGGATGATGGACATCAATATCTCCACTTCATATTTCAACAACAAAACTAAAAACTAGGATTCAGGTGACCGTGAAGGCCCTGGGGCCTCTTGTTCTATTATAGTAATTATACATTGAGTATGTCATGTGTACACGTATATGAAGATGTCACTGGAATTTTGGGTAAAAAAATAGGTTGTCTCAAATCACTTTCTTCTGATAAGGAGATCTTGAATTGTGTACATCTAATATCAACGTCCATTGAACTATCACTTTGAATGTTCATGGAAGTTTTTCTGTACCTGTATATGAATTCAGTGTAAAATGCACAAAAAATGTATTTTTAATAAAACTTATAGCATAATACACGTTTGCAATCAAATAAACTACATTGTGTTTACCAAACAGGATATATTATTTCATCAGACATTGATTTTTTTTCCAGCTTGATATTAAAGATTAGGTGTTTCTTGTATGAATTTCATTTGTTGTAGAATTAACAAAGTTAACTTCAAACTTCAGCATGGACTATATTTTATGTTTATTAATACGGCTTCAATATAAAAAAATTATAGCTATAAACACAGTATTCCATAGTTGTCAAGCCCTGATTTCAGAAGAAAAAAATAGGCAGGTATTAGTAATAGTCTTAAAATTAAATGTCTGCAAATGAAAAAAAAACTGCCAACGTCTTTAATAGGTCACTTCCAAATAATGTACACAACTGTTGTCACTATGGTTACATGTAACTACAGACAGGAATAATGTACACAACTGTAGTCACTTTGGTTACATGAAACTACAGACAGGAATAAAGTACACAACTGTTGTCACTATGGTTACATGTAACTACAGACAGGAATAATGTACAATGGTACGCCAAATGATCTTACTCGTTAATCAAACAACGATCAGAGGACTACGCCAGCTGATGCGTTTTCCACAATTTGTTTGTAAAAAAGTAAAGGTATTCGACAGTAACTAGAGATGGCTATATCTGTTACAAAAAAGTAAAGGTATTCGACAGTAACGAGAGATGTCTATATCTGTTACAAAAAAGTAAAGGTATTCGACAGTAACTAGAGATGGCTATATCTGTTACAAAAAAGTAAAGGTATTCAACAGTAACTAGAGATGGCTATATCTGTTACAAAAAAGGTAACTGAACTATTTTGTGTTTAATTGAACGAAGTGAAAAATATTTTGTGGTTGATTGAACAAAGTGAAGCGTAATGTTATAAGCAGTGTGTATGTTAATATAACTAGTGTATACCACATCTTGTGGTTTACAAAAAAATCATTTATGTTTCTCATAGTGAATAAACAATTTTGATGAAAATTCATGACCTAAAAGAGCCGATTAAATAAAGTTAACCACCAATGTTGATATGGAAACCTAACTTGGAACGGAGGAATTAATCCGTTTTTCTCGTAGTTATGATCAGTAATTGACAGGATCATCAACTGGAAAGCTACTTCTTCATTAGAATCAATTTAACTGGCGTGGAGCTATTTATGTAGCAAAAACTACTTCACAGAAAACTAATTTAATTTTGAAATTTCAAGAAATCGGGGCTTGGCACCTCATGGACTTGTGCTGTCTGAAGAGAACTATTTATGTTGGTTACAGAATATCAAGGATATCTTTTGTTAAAGTGCATTTTGATTCTTTCTCATTTGTTTATTATCAACGCTTCGTTAATTAAAACTTCTGGTAAATTTTATACCTGTCAACTATTGCTTGTCTTTTGTTGTTTATTTGAAGTTCTGACTTTTATTTGCTTTTGTTGTTTCTATAATTTGCTGGATTTACCTTTGTAAATGAGGAAAACAATTGTAGTAGTTGCTCTCATTCCACATATTTTGCCATAATTTTAGATGAGCTGTTACATATATCAATGTTCGTTCATCTCCCGAAACCTACAGATAATTTCTCTATGCACTTGCAGATTTTCATCAACCATTTTTATCCGTTTTGGGGATATAGCCGTCATGTGTGATGTTCGTCCGTCCGTCTGTAGTGCTTGGGAACGATTGATCATGCTTCAGTATGTATGGATACAAAGAACCCTATTGATTTTGGGTGAAGTCTGCCAGAGGTCAAGGTCACTGTTGCTAAAAATAAAATTTTGCTTTGTTGCTCTGTTCGGATTATAACTTCATAAGCTTATTGATCCAGACAGTCAGAGGTCAAGGTCACTTTTGCTGAAAATAGAATTTTGCTTAAGAGCGATAACTGATTTCTTGTCGTAAGTAGTTCACACTTGCTGTATGGATAATTCTAGCACAAATACTTCACTGGTCTTGAGTGTAACTTGTAAATAGATTATTGTACAATGTCTGCATTTCATATGCAGAGAATGGGTAGCATGTCCACATAGTGCTATTGTAAAACAGATTGTTAAGATATTTTTAAAGAAAGTTTCCTCCCCATCCATGATAGGGGTGGGGGAGGTATGCCGTCTCTGGCAGCTCTTTGGTACAGGATTGATGAGATATCTCGCCTAGTGGAGTGAGTGAAAAGAAATCAAGTTTAAATATTTGAAAACTATTCCTAAAGAAAGTGTCGTACCAATACATGTGAAATAAATTCACCGAAATTACCCATAAATATTACAATAAATCTTACTGGTTTCATGCCTGTTACTGTTTTCAAACACACCATTAAATATGTGTAAGTGTGATAGTAGAGGAGAGGGCCGCGGTGGTTAAAATGTCTGACCAACTATGATCACTAGCCCTTCATCAATGGGTGCCAGGCTCCACGCCCACAGTTGCCAGGTACTAGCTGCAGGTTGGTGGCTTTTCTCCATATGCTCCTTCACCACCAAAACCTGGCTGGTTCAAATGACCTTAACTGTTTTAAAATAGGACTGAAGCATAAATGATAAATTGTTGGAAATCTGACCATGAGATTTTTACATATTCCTTTATATCCTGCCAGAAATGCACAATTCCTATTTAGCTCCAGAGACATATAAGGTATATAAGTCCCTGTTAGCTCTACTATATATTAAGACCAGCCCTAAGAAATTTCAAATGACAGTAAATCAGTAACAAAAAACAAATAATGATAGAAAATTCAAATTAATCAGATGTTTTTTTTTATTTCATATTTTTTCTTACATTTTTTTCGTCAATGGTCACAAGAAATTGCTGTCACATCACACCAAGCAATCTTAAACATGAAAAACTCCATTAAATTTTCCCTTATGGTAGTTTTTGCCATTTTCGTCCAGTTTTCAATGATGACTTAAGACTTTAGACAGAAAATTTAAAACAAATACTGAAAATCATTAACTGGTTTTTTTTGCACAAGCTTTAAACGGGATATAGTACGGTAAGCCCTTGTTATACAACCAGTATTTGCTCAGTAAAATATTGATGTAACGAGGTCGAGCAATAAATCAAGGGAGACAATTCTGAGAAACATTACAATGAGTTGTATACTGGCTGTAACCTAGGTGGTAAACGAGGGACACTATATCTATGACTTAATGTATTCACTGTTGATACTTAGGAGGTATCTTACAAGGGAGTTTTCCATTGAGCATTAAAGACTGCTTTAAGATGCGGTTCATAGGCAATATGAATGCCCACTGCTTTACAGGAAAATACATGAACCTTTTTATTGAACTGTTTTATAGGATTTTAGTGGGCACAGGCATTGCTGCCTCTATATCCACATCAATATAATTTGAAATTCATTGTGGTAAACATAAAATAAGTCTATATATAAGTCGCTGTATGATCTTACTTAAAATCACGATCTTTACAGAATTCGTCCAAGTTTTTCTTAAAGTCAATTACGTTACGAGATAAAATAACATCTTGTGAGAGACTATTCCAGATATCAATAAATCTTTGAGTAAAATCACATTTTCTAATTTGTAAATAACAATGTTGTTTGAATAAAAAAAAATACTGTGTCTACGAGTTTTTCCTTGAGTGGCGAGATCTAACAATCCCTCCACCAAATTCGGATCATATTTATAATAAAATGTATGTGACTGGGAACATCCTAGTGTCTTTGTAAGGAGATACATTTCATTTTACTTTTGCTGAAATCTTAAATCAAACATCTTTTACTATGTGATATTTTCCAGACTCCTTTCTTTTGAACATGGTTAAAAAATTGGAACCTGATTAATATTTAGTGTATATTCATCTTTAAAAAAATACCGTCGGGTTATTGGTAAAAAAATAAAATAAAAATGTCAAGTAAAGATGTTTTAACTGGATTAATGTCTATTGAAGATACTCTATGTCATCATCAGTGAAAATATGAAATGATGATAACACTTTCTATTGATTAAGGATGAAGAAATCAGTGTCTCATCCGAATCACTTTCAGTATTTTGATTATCATGTTGAAAATGTACTACAGAATCACTGGCAGACGTGTAGCTGCCTTTACGCTGGTATGCAGGTGAATCCACCAGATTTTCGAAAAGAAAAACAAAACAAACAAAACGCTGCCTGTTGAACCCCTGACTTGTCCTGGACCAGCTCCTAGATGTACTATCACGGAATCAGATTAGAGAATCCCTGTTATTTAAGTCCGTGATACTATATATGGCTTAATATGTCTCTGCTCCGAAAAAGGTCTGGTTGAAGTGAAGTAAGGAGTATTTCTCTTATTTATGAAGTACAGTATAAACGCTCTGATGAAATGTATGACTGTGCCTTTGATTACGTGGATATCTTTGTATATTTATAGTAAATATAAGTTACTTTAACAAAAATAATATTATTTGGATTGTTTAAGTGGCTCAAAATGCTTGATATATATAATAAAATATATTACTGTGTACAGTTTATTATGTGGAATGAAAAATCTTCTACTGTCCATCTGTCATTGCCGATGCTCCTCAAAAATGAAATGTACTTTTTATGAAAAATTAAACTTTTCACGAGATGTGAAAATATTTGAGTTTTAATTGTCATTACCTTGCACGGTCACTATCGTTTTCATAGTTAATTTCTAAAATGTATATGGCATAAATCAAGTCACTCAGATCAGGGACGTATAATGGATATATACTGTCCCTGCTCAGATATATCTCTTTCCGTACGTAGCCTTAATTAAACTGGTCCCTCAGTTTCCATCTGAATTACTTGAAACTTTGTAGGATTAATCCCCATCAATGCGGTAAATTTGTTGACAAGAGTTATTGCCCTTTTTGAACACTATTAGGCTCCAATTTCATTCGTTATTTCAGTAAAGGTACATAGTAGATGCACACATCAGTGGCGGATCCAGAGGGGTTTTTTGGGCTTCAGGAATCCCCCCCACCCTGNCATTGTTTCCCTACATGGAAACCCCCCCAGGAAAATTGGAAACCCTCCCAGATAGGTATCTGGATCCGCCACTGCACATGGACAAAAAAAGCCCAGTGCCATTAATGGCTCAACTGAAATTTTATTTTAATTTCAAACCTGTCGAAAATCATACATGTTTATCAAAAGAGTACAAGAAATATAAAAAGAGTAAAATTCCTTTGGGTGGACACGACATCGTGGACACGAGTGTATGGTTACAGTTGGTGGGGATCTCTACCGTTACCGTGTTATGACCCAGGAAGTATCGTTTTCCCCTGTCCATCTTCCCCAAGGGAAGCCACACCCACGATTTATTCAACATATTGTTCCTTTGGTTAAAAGCCACTCAATCTTACGGAAGGAGAAGGATATTGTAACCTCTATTAACCGTGGTGGGTCCCGCTCCTCTGCTATTGTTGGAAGTAAGAGATCGTTTAAATAACCCGTAGTTAATTTGTGCATTTTATATAAAATTTTGAGTTTTCTACGTCTTCTTTGATTCGTAAAATGTTCTTGATCTACAAACCACAATCGGTGGTATGTTTAACACGTGCCTAGACTGCGTTTCCTCGGTCACACATTTAAAAATAAATAATAAACCCATATGTAATTTTATCATTAACCTATATATATCTTTTTTGAAGATTTTTTTTTTTTTTTTTTTTTCCAATTCAAGTTTATTCCGGGGGCCTTACGACCCATAGGCATACATAAATATAATACATATTATTACATACATATGTGGCGAGTGATCTCTCATGACATGCATACAGAACACAGAAAGTAACATATACATGTCTGTATACGATACACAAACAACATACTAACAAGAGACGGGAGGTAACTCCTCGGCAATGTTATCTTGATTGCGATTACATAAATGCCAATTATTACTAAGTTTAATGAATATACATTTTACACCATTAGCAATAATACTTGTATTATACAGACAGACAGACAGACACACACACACACACACACACACACACACACACACACACACACACAAGTATAAGTAATAATTATTTTTCAGTCTAGGCATGCTTTTCTTTGCATTCGAAATGATACATGAAATACATATGAAAGGTGTTTAACGATAACATTCGCTTTTAGCCAAAGTATGTTTTTCTTTACTTAACGACAGAATGCCAAGGTATACATGGTTACAAAACATACCTATTGCATACGTATTTGGAGAGTGATCTCGCATGACAAGCATACCGAACACAGAGAGTAACATAAACATGTATGTATAAAATACATCATAAACATAATAGTACAAGAAAAATTAACTTAAGTTAAATTTAACTTAACAGACACATACTGACGGAGATGAGCCAATGTTACCTTGAATGGGATTACATTAGTGCTGAGTCAATCTACCACTTATGTACCACTTATTGATTAAGTTTAATAATACATATATGTTGTACAACATCAGCAATCATACTACTATTATACAGACAGACAGAAGTAAAAGTAATAATTCGTTTTCAGCGATGTCATGCTTTTCTTAGAATTCGAAATATACCTGAAATACATATGTGAGGTATATAACGATAATATTCACTTTTAGCCAAAGTGCGTTTTTCTTTTCTTAAAGGCAAAATGAATATATTTTCCAAGATTATTTAGTTCCTTAACATTATTTATACTTAACAGTTGCACAAGTTTGAAAACGCTAGGTGATTTATAATAATACCTTTTAATATACCTTTGTCTAATTTCTATATAAAATGGACATTGCAGTATAAAATGGAACTCATCTTCAATTTCAAAACTTTGGCAACATTCACATATTCTGCGTCTCTTATCAATGTTGTGATAGCGGCCATTTTCGATTTTTAACTGGTGTGATGACAATCTAATACTGGCTATAGATTTTTTATATATATTATCAAGAGGTTTCAGTAAATAATATTGCATGCAAAAATGATCAATTAGATGTTTGTATAGGTCACCTCTGGCAGCATTTATAATTCTTGCTCTCATTTCCTGGGTGTAACAATCTTTAAATCGTTGTTCTACTACTTTGTACATATTTCCATTTATAGCATCACTAGTCCAAAAGTAAGATAAACCAAGTTTATCTAGTTCTTGTTTAATATTGTTTATCCAATCATCATTCATTATTAATCGCTCTTCTAAACATGTGGCCAATATACAATTTTTGGATTCTTTTAATTTTAACCAGTATTTTATAACTTTTAACTTTCTATTTATGTAACGTGACTGTCTACCAAGCTCGTAATATACAAAATCAGTACCTGTACTTTTTTTGACACCAAGCAATCGTTTACAAAACCCAGAATGGAGCTTTTCTATCTCTGGTGCTTTGTGAAAGCCCCATATCTCGCTTCCATACTCGAGTATGCTGTTGACATATGTATCAAACACTGAACATGTTGTACTAATATTGAAATCATTTTTCCTCAATTTACTATTAATTGCAAATAAAGCTTTTCTTCCCTGGTTAGTAATTTGTTTCTGAGTGACATTGAACTTTCCGTTAAAATTCATTAACATTCCCAAATAATTAAATTCATTAACTATATCGACTTCTTGGTTGTTGTAGATCCATTTTTCAGCATCTCTTATGTTCCCCCCATAATCGGTACATTTATTAAAAAGAAATTTCTAACAAAAACGTAAGCCATAATTGACAAGTAGTATGTAATTAGTGACTATGAATAGCGGAATGAACCTTAATTACCCCAGGTGTTCTGACCGATCGGTTCAAAAGGTACCAATAACAATAGTACAAACTACAAAGAGATTGAGACCGCACGTGCAACAATTATACTCTAGGGTCGTTGTTATATAAATGTATATATTTTATTAACATCGAAAATTCTAACTGAAACAAGGTCGATTTATTTACTTAAATGTTTTCATTAATTCATTTCATTCTCCAAATAATTTAAATAAGTATTGTATTCTACATCTTCGAAATCAAAAGGTTTCGTCATGCAATATTCCAAGGGTGCAGAAGATATTTCTACCGAATGCAGGATTCTGGATTTGGAAGATGTCTCTTAATTATCATACTTTGTTAATAATATTTTCACGTCTGACTGATTTCTCGGTAAAATCAGAGCATCGTCAATTAGTTGTTTTTACATTTAGGTGTTAAATCGTCTTTGATGTCCCTGTATATACAGAACTTATCATCTCTGAAGTCGAAACAACACCAACTATTGTCCTTGTGTGAGTTACGAGTGCTTGCGTCACTTTCCACTCATTAGGGTGTTTATTGTAAGTGGACTAAGATCACTCCGTAGCCATCGCGCGGACAGCGGGTGGTCATTTGGTGGCGGTGCGCGTCGGTCAAGATGCTTTGGTGTCTTCTCCGCCTATTCTACAAATAACAGCCAAATAACATTCAGTCGTGAGTGGTCAGTATCGCTGACAGATTCCGGACAGTCGTTGACCAATAGCTGTAGAGAACGGTACGTCAAAGAGATCCTAGAAGGGCTATCTTAGCAGCCCACTTGACCAGCAGACACATATAGATCTACAAAACAACAGGTTGCACGCGCATATTATAATGACTACTTCGCCATTCGATCTCCTGTCCGTGGAATGTGACATGGATTGTGACCAGGATATGACCCAGGTTCCCGGATGGGATAAACTTGATGTTCGGGCACAACCGACTTTAATGCTCCATCTCTCTGATTCTTGCCCGTGTGAGTGTTTTCTTCAGACGGCCACAAGCCCCTGTGTGTCACCTTCCGAAGACGAACTGGCGACAATACTGGGTAAGTCAGAGACGGACTAAACTTAAAAGATGAACTGGTTTTATTGCCTCTGATCAAATCATTCTGTTTTAACAGTACCGTAAATTTTAAAGTCATACCAGACGAACAGGATATCTTTATTTAATTATTGCATCAGTCTAATTAAAAAATAAAAAGTTATAAACAGTTGTGAAATGTCTAATCAAAATATACGACAGAAAATAAAATGAAAATAAAAGGAGAAACACGAATAATACATTTTCGGCATGGAAGTTTACAACTAATGATCAATAAACAGGCCTTTAACGACCTTCTACATTATTTTACTCAGTGTGTCGACAAATATATAATGTTTCCCTCGTAGTCTGTAAATATCAACTAGCTCCTACCACTCCCCATCACCTAGTACAATCCGTCGCCACCCCGGAAACTCATATTAATAGTTAAAAGATGTCGAGAAGCTATAGGGAGGGGGAGGGGTTGGGTTGTTATAAGGTGCATGACACAATACTGTGTGAAATTGTCTAATTGATAAACAGAAATAAACACAGATGTGGTAACAATCAAATGTTTTATAGACCTGTATGTTACTAGGACGATTCGGTGACAGGTCGTTTCGGGACTTAAACAAGTCGTTTTGGTAACAGGTCGTTTCGGTAACAGAGGTCGTTTCGGTAACAGAGGTCGTTTCGGTAACAGGTCGTTTCGGGACTTATATATAATCAAGTCGTTTCGGGACATATACAAATTTCTCTTATAAATAACATTTCGCTCCCGTTTCATAAAAAGTCATGTAAATACACAAGTATGGTTTTAGTCTATGACCTGTATCACGTCCTACCCGTGTTTGGGATCATTATAGTGTTTAACAGATTGTTAGTTCCCCGATTGACAGTGTGTTGTTACCTGATGTAACTAATCTAATTATTAAATACAGATCTAGAGGAACTTATGAAATTTAACATCAATTTCTTTCATTACTGATGGGTTAATTCCTTGTTTGGTATTGTAATAATTTGTTTTCAATTCACTTTATTCTCCGTTATTGTTACCGACATTAAGAGACGAATGAGTTAACATTGATTCTAACAATGTTTTAAGCATTAAATTTCATGAAAGTATAAACGTGAAACACGCAGAATATATTAAGGACATGTGAATCAATTTATCAAATCCAGCAATATAGTTTGAAAGATGTTTTCATGTTGCGTATTTGTGTCTGTGTGAATATTATATATATATTTATTCATTTGTTATTAAAATCATGTTATGGTCAATGTATGAAGGGAGAAGGCTATGATAAGTTGTAATAATTTTTATCCAATCGATTGTCTTAATTTAGTTGACATTAAAATATGTTAAAAGAAAAAAACCAATGGTACTACAGAAGATAAAAAAAATGAAAATTCCCGAAACGACCCGAAAAAAGTCCCGAAACGACCTGACACCGTTACGAGGTGGTATAATCGAAGAACATTTAATTTGTTTTTAAAATGAGTCATCACATGCATGCAATGATATTTAATGTGATCATAGAAAGGTCATCTGCGGTTGGAAATGAGTGATTTTGGAATGTTTTAATAGGTTTGCACTTGTTTTTTTTATGACAGCTTACTATAACACAATGCGTTACAAAAATAATTGAATGCTGACTTCAAATAAAAATGTAATCGTTTAATTCGCGAAAGATAAAAACCACACAGAAAGTCACATTACATTAGAACAGCCTGAAAACTCCTGAGAGAAGCCAACAACAGAGTTGAGGCGACAATTTTGCGAGAGTTATCGGTCTTGGCACATATTTTTAAATAAGCGATTATGTAAAGTGACCAAAACGTTTATCTATGTTAATATTACCATAGTTGCTGTTGTATTTTTTTGTTCATTTTCAAAAGAAGATTTTCTTAAAAATATAATGTTGTGGTGTATCTTACAGAATTATATAGTTGTTCAAATTGTTTGAAAAAAAATTGCAGGTGTCGAAATCCGCCAGACCTTTACATAACAAAGCGTACAGTTTACCAATGTTGTCATCCTGGAATTATGAATACATAGCATCAAATTAAGTGTCCAATAATATGGGCCGCAAATTAAAGATTAGGAAAAAATTGAAAGCTTCAAAATCTGACAGGAAGGTTACTCTTCTGACTTTATACGTCTCTGCTCAAAGTCAGTAAAAAATTGTAGTCATGAGACCGGGGCAAGTTTGGCTCATTTTTATTTAAGTCGTTCTGGACAATATAAAATATATGTGTGTATACACCACTTGGAAGAGAAATTAAACGCCTTTCATAAAATAATAAAGAAAGTGCGAACACGTCCGTCAGATTTCCCCGTCAAATTCACGATTTTTATGCGTTGCATGAGCGGAACTTGGCCCGGTATCAAGGGCCGAACCTGCCCTAAACTGAAATTTCAATAAATTCGTATATTACAGCAATACGATAGTCAATGCTTACCACCACATGTCAGTGTGTTACACGTATGTTATTAATAAGTAGCAATTCTGTTTACAGAAAGTTTGCAAAACTAGAAAGATGTGATCATGAGGTGATGATTTTTGTTCTACCCTCCGAAAAGTAACTTTCTTCCATTTAGTGATTTTATTATGGAGTATTCCTCGTCATTTTTTCATGTAAATGTCACGCCCAGCCAACTAAACTGCTAAGACCCTTAAAAGTTGTAAATATTACTCAAGACTAAAAATATCTGGGGTGGCCGGACTTATCCCGGTCTCCCCTAGTTCGACCCATTTTTGTGGGGCTGTTCAAATCACCCTGCGTCCGTGGTCTGGCCGTCCTTAAACAATTCTTGTGAGCGGGGTTTTTTCTCAGAAAATACTGGAGAGGTCTTTCTAAAATTTCTTATGGAGGTTTCCCATGGTCCTTAGTTTGCAGATCGTCATAATCGAACTTTGGGACTGATCGAAAAACCAAGATGGTCGACATGCAGCCATCTTGAATTTGATAGTTAAAGTTTGTAAGCGTTTAAAGGCTGTAATCGCTATTTTTCATAAAGTCCATTTTGGATATTTCATATGAAGGTTCCCTTTATTACGCATATCAAAATTAAGTTCTAGAGAAAACTAAGATGAACGACAGACAGCCATCTTGAATTTGAAAGTTTAATTTTTGTTAGCGCTATTTTATGAAGTAATGGAGGGATTTTTCTCAAATTTTATATGAAGGTTTCTTTTGGTTCTTACTGCTTAAAGAGAATTTTTGGACTGATCTGATTACCAATATGGCGGCCTAACGGACATCTTGTTATAGTTAAAGTTGGTTATCGTTATTTCTCATAAAGTACTGGAGGAATCTTTCTCTAATTTGATATATGGGTTCCCTTGGCATGGTCATTAGTTGTGCATATAAAGTTGAGACTGATCAGAAGAACAAGTTGGCTGCCAGGTGATCAAACTGACATAGAATTAATGAATATCTAGATGGTACGATATTGGACGGCAAGTTCCTTCTGGGATCTCTCGTTATTAAAGTCGTTATCAGTTTGTTGAAATTCATTCGTATAACAAAAAAGAGTTAACTGTTCAGAATAGAAAATCAACGTTTATCATAAAATAATATCCAAAGGGCAAACACGTACTTCCGTGAACCATTTTATTCCTACTTCCGATGTATATTTTACACAATCCCTGACAATGCACGTTCTTTTATTACAGATGATAACTTGGACATGGTGTGTTACGAAAACGACAGTTTCCTCTACGAGATGCTAAACGAAATGAGTCTTGTAGCAGACGACTTCACGGAGTCCAACTCGCCCTCCACGGACTCTGTCACTCAGACGCTGGACGAAGGCCTTCCGAACGGACAGAGTTTGATTGACTTTTTGAGTGACCCGTACATAGGTGGCGATGTGTCGTCTAGCCCCGACTCTTCCGAATGGTCCTCATCGTCGCCCCTCTCATCGTCGGTCTCCTCGTCAGACAGCCTCGACTTCGATGATATGTTCCCAGTCAGCCCGAATCCACCAGAAAGAAAGTCGTGTTTGACCCCACACCGGAAAAGAAAACATTCTGATGTATCTCAAGATGCAGTCAAGAGAAAATGTTGCCATGGAGATGAACTCTTTTCGACCTTAGATAGAATAACGTCACAACCTATCGTCAGCGATGTTAACGAGATAAAATATGGATTTTATGTGACGTGTGAAGATGTGTGAGTTATTATATACATCGTCGGAATCGGAGTTGCACAACTTACATTGATGTACAATATAAGTGACCCGTATACTTTGAGTAATTCCAGGGTAGATGGCACTGTGTCACAGCAGACTAGCTCGTCATTGATAACTCATTAAGACCAGTCTGATTCAACGAGAGGGGACGTATCAGTCAAATATATGGACATAGCATGAAGACTTTTCTTGCTTAATTTAAGACTTTGATTGGGCAAGAAACGAATGTGGCTTCGGGGGTGAATGGGTTATAACAATATTTTCCGTGTCTATATGCTTTGTGTGATCATTAAAGAAGACGACGGATCATATTAATTTCTCAATTTATGCAATCGCCGCTATTAGAAGAATGTTGTTCTCTGCATATGAGCACCTATCATTATTTCTGATAGACAATTTAAGTTGAAACAACCTATTTTTTATTAGCTGTACTACATGTGTCAGTAACTGAACTATAGGCATATTGGAAACTTATTTCTCAAGGGAAAATACAGAATTCCAGAAGTAAAATGTGTTTACTTATGTTAGCCATGTAATCATGATGTCGAATGACATGTGCTTATTTAGATAATTAGAGACCGGAAATACCAGCGTGGGACAATTTCAATATTTTAAGGTTTGTCGTAATTCTCACTTTAATAATACACTGTACAACTGTATCAGAAATCGTCCCGCTTGTCTTGCCTATCAAAAGACATCTACTTTAATTTCCTGTACATTCCACCCAATTATCTGGGCCATCAAAAAACAACAGTTGTCTTTTTTGTATCTTGTATATATAAAAGAAATAAACTGTGTCCTAAATTTATGCATGTTTCGTTTTCATTTTATTGGATTAAGTGTCCCAATTATAACTAGCTAATTATAACAACTCATTAAAAAGGTCATTTACGGATGTGCCTCTATGTGTATAGCTAATTAATGACGGCGTGAATCTGATACCGATTTTAATTATTAGAACGCTATAGCTACCAACCACTGAAATACCATACACCAGCTGGTACACCGTCCTGTGGTTCAATACCATACAACCGGTACACCGTCTTGTGGTTCAATACCATACAACTGGTACCCCGTCATGTGGTTCAATACCATACAACTGGTACGCCGTCCTGTGGTTCAATACCATACAGCCGGTACACCGTCCTGTGGTTCAATACCATACCACTGGTACACCAACCTGTGGTTCAATACCATACAAATGGTACACCGTCCTGTGGTTAAATACCATACAACTGGTACACCGTCCTGTGGTGCAATACCATACAACTGGTACACCGTCCTGGTGTTCAATACCATACAACTGGTACCCCGTCATGTGGTTCAATACCATACAACTGGTACCCCGTCATGTGGTTCAATACCATACAACTGGTACACTGTCCTGTGGTTCAATAGCATACAACTGGTACACCAACCTGTGGTTCTATACCATACAAATGGTACACCGTCCTGTGGTTCAATACCTTACAACTGGTACACCGTCCTGTGGTTCGATACCATACAACTGGTACACCGTCCTGTGGGTCAATCCCATACAACTGGTACACCGTCCTGTGGGTCAATACCATACAACTGGTACACGGTCCTGTGGTTCAATACCATACAACTGGTACACCGTCCTGTGGTTCAATACCATACAACTGGTACACCAACCTGTGGTTCAATACCATACAAATGGTACACCGTCCTGTGGTTCAATACCATACAACTGGTACACCGTCATGTACGTGGTTCAGAGCCATGATACTTCAGTACGTTATTTAGACCAGCCAAGAACACGTTTATAAATGCATTATGATGTGGTGAAATTTTAATTTTGACAGCTGTTCAACATTGGCTGTTGTGGGTAAAATGCTTTCAAAATCTTTCTTTAAAATTCTAAAAAGCCAATGGCCATGTCATTTTGCTACTATAACTACCTGATGTAAAGTACTATTATGTTTTCTAAAATAAATGACACTGACCCTCTTTGAAGGTGACTGGGGTCAAAGAAATTTGTACCTTTTATTGGGTAAATCGACGTTTGTATTGGGTTGTATTGGGTAAATCGACGTTTGTATTGGGTAGTTTTGGGTAACTGAACGTTTGTATTGGGTTGTATTGAGTTGTATTGGGTAAATCGACGTTTGTATTGGGTTGTATTGGGTAACTCAACGTTTGTATTGGGTTGTATTGAGTTGTATTGGGTAAATCGATGTTTGTATTGGGTTGTATTGAGTTGTATTGGGTAAATTGACGTTCGTATTGGGTAGTATTGGGTAAATCGACGTTTGTATTGGGTAGTATTGGGTAAATCGACGTTTTTATTGGGTTGTATTGTGTAAATCGACATTTGTTTTCGGTTGTATTGGGTAAATCGACGTTTGTATTGGGTTGTATCGAGTTGTATTGGGTAAATCGACGTTCGTATTGGGTAGTATTGGGTAAATCACCGTTTGTATTGGGTAGTATTGGGTAAATCGACGTTTGTATTGGGTAGTATTGGGTAAATCGATGTTTGTATTGGGTTGTATTGAGTTGTATTGGGTAAATCGACGTTTGCATTGGGTTGTATTGGGTAAATCGACGTTTGTATTGAGTTGTATTGGGTAAATCGACGTTTGTATTGAGTTGTATTGGGTAAATCGACGTTCGATTGGGTTGTATTGAGTTGTATTGAGTTGTATTGGGTTGTATTGATTGTATTGGGTTGTATTGAGTTGTTTTGGGTAAATCGACGGACCCGTGTGGTCACCCCAACATGGAACTTAAAGAACACTGGCTGAACATGCCTACGAGGAAGTAAAAGTATGAGAACACTTTTATTGACTTTATTGTTACATGGGTCATGTATCAATATCATGTAAGAAATTTCTATAGTCCTTTGGGTATACATTGTATTTCATTGTCATTGAAAAACAAATCAAGCCAGTCTTGCTTTTAACAACGTCGCCAATTTGCAGTCACAATTTCCCCGCCAACACTTGTTTATATCATGTGATCTAAATAACAATATCATGATGTCATTATATTGTGAACCGTAATTTGCACCGTAGCTCTACACTGCCACTGTAAAATTGTTTGACGGTAGGCCTAGCCTACCGAAACATGTCAACAAATCAAACCTCCTGGTTCACGGAATCCCTGGTGTTGATGCTCCATCTCTTACCTAAATGTTGGAATAGTCCAGTATGGAATTTCATGGGTGAATGAGTTAATTGGTTTAAAACATTATCAATGAAGTTTTTTTATTCAAACAAAATGACAACCAATAGGAAAATCCTACATTTTATTTCATTGATATCACATAGTATAAATCCAACACTCATCATCCATACCCAAACGCTTCAATAAAGTGATGCATGAAATTCCTGTTTGGCCAATTCTATGTGTAACTTAATTCAACTAGTCCACTGAAGTCAGTCAAAATTATCTTCCTTATCATTTACAATTATACACTATATCATTTTAACTTCCTCCTTGTCGGGTTCCAATCATCTATCTCGTCTCTATAACTTCCTCCTTGTTGGGTTCCAATCATCTATCTCGTCTCTATAACTTCCTCCTTGTCAGGTTCCAATCATCTATCTCGTCTCTATAACTTCCTCCTTGTCGGGCTCCAATCATCTATCTCGTCTCTATAGCTTCATCCTTGTTGGGTTCCAATCATCTATCTCGTCTCTATAACTTCCTCCTTGTCGGGTTCCAATCATCTATCTCGTCTCTATAGCTTCATCCTTGTCAGTTTCCTCCGCCTCTATTTTATCACCACTACCTAACTGTTGTAATTTTTTTTCCAATTCCTCCCTGTCGTGTACCATGGGTTTTATTTGAGTGTTTATCTGTGGAGCTTGAGGTGGCAACCATTTCGGTGTGATTTTGCTATGCAGTCGCCATTCTCCATACATATTCACGATGTGTTTCTCGAACACAACATATTCTAATACATCCCTGGGTACCACTTCACTGCCGTACATCAGACGACCAAATCTGTCATATATCGCCAAGATCTGTTCCAAAGAAAAATGAGGAGGAGACTTTAAAGAAGACATCACAAGTGATACAAATCCCTTACATACGCACATGCTGTATGACATGGCTGTATGACACATGATGATCAATACTCAGAACCCCACAAAAAACTATCGGGTAATAAAAAGATAAAGGAGATGTGCGTAAAAACATATATTAAAAATTAAAGTTAAGAGACTGAACTGCCAACCACTGTATCCCTCTAACGGTCAGGAGACAATCACCACTGGTTCACAATGAGAAGTATTACTAATTCTACTAATACTAAATCTGTCAAACTCATGGTCAGAATGTGGCGCTGAACTTACTCCCAAGGTGACTTGAGATATATAGTGTTTCTAAATCTGTCAAACTCATGGTCAGAATGTGGCGCTGAACTTACTACCTAGGTGACTTGAGATAGCGTTTCTAAATCTGTCAAACTCATGGTCAGAATGTGGCGCTAAACTTACTACCAAGGTGACTTGAGATAGTGTTTCTAAATCTGTAAAACTCATGGTCAGAATGTGGCGCTGAACTTACTCCCAAGGTGACTTGAGATATATAGTGTTTCTAAATCTGTCAAACTCATGGTCAGAATGTGGCGCTGAACTTACTCCCAAGGTGACTTGAGATATATAGTGTTTCTAAATCTGTCAAACTCATGGTCAGAATGTGGCGCTAAGCTTACTACCAAGGTGACTTGAGATAGTGTTTCTAAATCTGTAAAACTCATGGTCAGAATGTGGCGCTGAACTTACTACCAAGGTGACTTGAGATAGTGTTTCTAAATCTGTCAAATCCTGATGACTTGTGTTGGTGAGTGATGTCGATAGATTGGTGGATTTGATTGATTGAAATAAACATCTGGTATAAAGCATGACATCAGTGTTAATGGTTAATCGTCTGTCAACCGAATGACGACTAAAAATTATAAAAAAAGTCCTTCCCAAGTATATCCAGGTTAAATAGACAAAATAGGACAACTACCCACAGGGTCAGAAATGATATAAATGTGCAACTTGTTGTAAAATGAAGACATCTAGGCATCATGTGCATATGTTAGCGTGTGCAATAGATTATCTAGGTCATCTTACTTATCAAAGGCATATGGACACGGAGGTAGACACAAAAATTGTTACATTTTGCTTGGTAGATTAGATATAATCAATATACAATGTATGTTTGTAAATTATTCCGCAATATATAACTCGGGATTGGAAAATAATTGAAAAATAATCAACTCTAAATTATTTGTTCCAACCTTTTCTCACCCTTGTTATATATTCCACCTTAATACATGCACATACGTTGATTATATCTTAATTAAACCCATTCAAGTGAATTTGATTCTTTGTCAAATATATTTTAAGTAAATAAAGAAATTGTGATGACATGTCAAACAAGTACGTTTTACACATCAATTAATAATTATGACCTTGACAAGTATTTCTGAGAAAAGATAACACAGCTGGATACCTGTTTTGTGTGACAACGAACCGTCACTTGTGCATACAAATTGTCTTGCGACAACATCTTGCTTGTTCGTAGATGGACAACTCTCGGAGGCTCAATAGATTCGACGAACTTCCAACGGAATGTCTTAAACTCCAAACCAAACACCAACTTCTATTAAATGAAATAAAACATACAGCACTGTCATTATCTTTGAATAATGCAAGACACAGACATTCAGTAAGTGGTGAGTTTTAAAGTCGAACACAAAGTCTATACACTATTATCACATCACTGACCTATTTAACTATGTCATACATACGGTCATGTCATAAATATGCTATCACACATGTGTAATAAATATGCTATCACACATGTGTAATAAATATGCTATCACACATATGTAATAAAACTTAAAGGTGCTGCAATTGTTCAAAATTGTGAACTTCATAATTAACTGCATTTTATTTCTGATCAATGCTTTTGCTATTAAATAAATTTGAAATGTATATTCTGCCATTATTATTTTCATTGCATTTAAAATTGTTCATTATAAAAAATAAAAAAATAGAAATTGGCTAACAATTTGACAGGCTTTTCACTGTAAGGACTGATTTGGCCCTCTATTAATAACTTGTGCAAGTCTACAGTAGCTGACTGAGTAGTGGGGGATTCCCGGAGTGCGAAATGACTTCAGAGAAAGAATGGATAAATATAGGCAGCCAATGGGCTAAGTTGTATAGAAATATAGTCCGTAAATGTCGTCATATAGTCCATCCACTATGTACGATTAATTGAAATAGCTTTTTGTGTATATCGGTTGGGTTTGCCATGCCAAAGAAAGGCTGATGTTTACCCACTGCAGTAGAGATGTAAACTGTCCCTACTTTTAAGATTGAGAGTGCGTAGTAATCGATGTAGTTTTACCAGCGTGTATTAGATGTCTTGATACAAATCAAAGTACTGAGAATACTGAAAGCACTTGACAATCGCACAAAAATGAAAATGGTTTTTCGACTTTCACCTTTGAAATTATATTTAGAATAAGTCAAGGTCATTCATTTGCACAACCTTTAAAGCCCTTCATTCAAGCATGCTTCTTTGCAAAACATCGTTACCCTGGAATTATTGGTTATTCAGAAAAAGTGGTTTCAATATTTTTACACATATGACCTCTGTGACCTTGAAAGTCATTCAAGGTCAATCATCTTTTCAAACTTGATAGTCAATCACCTGACCATGTTATGTATCAAATAGTAGGACTCTAGATCTTGTAGAACTTTAGAAGAAGTTTTTTGAAGTCATTATCTTGAAATAGCACATATGAAGTTTGACCCCTGAATAACTCAAAACTTGACCAGGTCAGCTCAAAATGTTTTCTGCCAAAAATGTGCGCATTTGTGTTGTCCACATAATACCCGAATGTATAGTGAATCTATCGAACAATTTTTGAAATATTCTTGATTAAAAGCAATTTTAATTTTTTAAACATTTGAAATTTGTGACCTTGATAGTTGATCAATATCAACCATTTTTTCAAACCTGATACCCCGACATCTCAGAATCTTTATTATTAAATATCAATACTCTAGAACTTGTGGAATTTAAGATTTTTTGAGGTCGGTACCCAATATAGTGCATTTTAACTTTGACCCCTGCCGAAAACCGGAAGTTGACATTTTTTGTTGAAACAGTATGAAAGAAAAAAATTGCTCTTGCTTATCTCTATATGATATCCAAAGATCAACCCCGTGTTTGATATCGTTAACAAAATATATTGGTATAGGCTGTTAACCAATCAGAGTTCATGGTGGCCATCTTGGAATATTAATTGCTCTAAAAAGTAACATTAGTTTGTAAAGGCCCCTAGAGGAATACATGTACCAATTGTGGTTAATGTTGTAATGGCAGAAGTGGAGTAGAAGATCGTTAGTGTTTGTAAAAATAGATTTTAACCTATGACATCATGGCTGCCATATTGGATTTTTGACCTACTTGAAAATGTTCCTGTAACATCTTCAGACCTTGGTCTACAACATACTTAAAAGAGTATAAACCTATCTTCTACCAATCAAAAGATACAGACTCCACAAAAGTAGGGGGGGGGNGAAGAAGAAGAAGAAGAAGAAGAAGAAGAAGAAGAAGAAGAAGAAGAAGAAGAAGAAGAAGAATAAAACTCTTGAACTTGTCTAATAAATTCAATATAACATGGCAACAAATGTACGATCCTCAATTTATAACTTACTGGATAGGCAAGGTTAGTCACCAGCTGATGGAGTTCATCCTCATTCGACTTCACACTGAAAAATGGAAGAGGCAGCAACATCACAGTTCACATTTCATATCATCTGTCCGATACCCCTTAGACACTGTACAAATCCCCTTTCTACAAGAGTTGAAGGATCCCCATACCACTGCCAAAAATTGTAACTAAGTGTTGATCAGCATGATAATATAGTTTTGATAAATAATTTGTGAAAAGAAAACCACACCTTGCAAGACATTTAAGAGCAATAATAAAGGAGAAATACACAAAACATAATCAACAACAGTGTTTTGAAAGTAAAAGTTCAGTTGGGGTAGACCGGGATTTGAATCTAAGATTTCAGATTGTTATACTAATCCCCTAACCGATTAGGCAACCTGGTAATTGGAAGCGTCATGCCTCAACTGTTTGACAGTTATAACAAGATAGAAGTTAAGGGGAGATCACTGTATAAAGGGAAAACCACATTGCAGTGGGACAGGGATCCTTAAGGGGAGGTTACTGTATATAGGGAAATTCTCATTGCAGTGGGACATGGATCCCTAAGGGGAGGTAACTGTATATAGGGAAAACCACATTGCAGTGGGACAGAGATCCTTTAGGGAGGTTACTGTATATAGGGAAAACCTCATTGCAGTGGGACATGGATCCCTCAGGGGAGGTAACTGTATATAGGGAAAAACACATTGCAGTGGGACAGGGATCCTTAAGGGGAGGGTACTGTATATAGGGAAATTCTCATTGCAGTGGGACATGGATCCCTCAGGGGAGGTAACTGTATATAGGGAAAACCTCATTGCAGTGGGACAGGGATCCTTAAGGGGAGGTTACTGTACATAGGGAAAACCACATTGCAGTGGGACAGGGATCCTTAAGGGGATGTTACTGTATATAGGGAAAACCACATTGCAGTGGGACAGGGATCCTTAAGGAAGTTAAGGGAAGGATACTGTATATAGGGAAAACCACATTGGAGTGGGACAGGGATCCTTAAGGGAAGGTTACTGTATATAGGAAAACCACATTGCAGGGGGACAGGGATCCTTAAGGGGATGTTACTGTATATAGGGAAAAGCACACTGCAGTGGGACAGGGATCCTTAAGGGGAGGTTACTGTATATAGGAAAACCACATTGCAGTGGGACAGGGATCCTTAAGGGGAGGTTTATGTATAAAGGAAAAACCTCAGTGCAGTGGGACAGGGATCCTTAAGTAAGTGAAAGGGAGGTTACTGTATATAGGGAAAACCTCATTGCAGTGGGACAGGGATCCTTAAGGGGAGGCTACTGTATATAGGGGAAACCACACTGCAGTGGGACAGGGATCCTTAAGGGGAGGGTACTGTATATAGGGAAAACCACATTGGAGTTGGACAGGGATCCTTAAGGGGAGGTTCCTGTATATAGGGAAAACCACATTGGAGTGGGACAGGGATCCTTAAGGGGAGGGTACTGTATATAGGGAAAACCACATTGGAGTTGGATAGGGATCCTTAAGGGGAGGTACCTGTATATAGGGAAAACCACATTCGAGTGGGACAGGGATCCTTAAGGGGAGGTAACTGTATATAGGGAAATCCACATTGCAGTGGGACAGGGATCCTTAAGGGGAGGCTACTGTATATAGGGAAAACCACACTGCAGTGGGACAGGGATCCTAAAGGGGAGGTTACTGTATATAGGGAAAACCACATTGGAGTGGGAGAGGGATCCTTAAGGGGAGGTTACTGTATATAGGAAAACCACATTGCAGGGGGACAGGGATCCTTAAGGGGAGGTTTATGTATAAAGGAAAAACCTCAGTGCAGTGGGACAGGGATCCTTAAGTAAGTTAAAGGGAGGTTACTGTATATAGGGAAAACCTCATTGCAGTGGGACAGGGATCCTTAAGGGGAGGCTACTGTATATAGGGGAAACCACACTGCAGTGGGACAGGGATCCTTAAGGGGAGGTTACTGTATATAGGGGAAAACCACATTGGAGTTGGACAGGGATCCTTAAGGGGAGGTTCCTGTATATAGGGAAAACCACATTGGAGTGGGACAGGGATCCTTAAGGGGTGGTAACTGTATATAGGGAAAACCACATTGCAGTGGGACAGGGATCCTTAAGGGGAGGTTACTGTATATAGGGAAAACCACATTGGAGTTGGACAGGGATCCTTAAGGGGAGGTACCTGTATATAGGGAAAACCACATTGGAGTGGGACAGGGATCCTTAAGGGGAGGTAACTGTATATAGGGAAAACCACATTGCAGTGGGACAGGGATCCTTAAGGGGAGGCTACTGTATATAGGGGAAACCACACTGCAGTGGGACAGGGATCCTTAAGGGGAGGTTACTGTATATAGGGAAAACCACATTGGAGTGGGACAGGGATCCTTAAGGGGAGGTAACTGTATATAGGGAAAACCTCATTGCAGTGGGACAGGGATCCTTAAGGGGAGGTAACTATATATAGGGGAAACCACACTGCAGTGGGACAGTGATCCTTAAGGGGAAGTTACTGTATATAGGGAAAACCACATTGGAGTGGGACAGGGATCCTTAAGGGGAGGTAACTGTATATAGGGAAAACCACACTGCAGTGGGACAGGGATACTTAAGGGGAGGTTACTGTATATAGGGAAAACCACATTGGAGTGGGACAGGGATCCTTAAGGGGAGGTAACTGTATATAGGGAAAACCACATTGGAGTGGGACAGGTATCCTTAAGTTGTGGGAACTGTATATAGGGAAAACCACACTGCAGTGGGACAGGGATTCTTAAGGGGAGGTTACTGTATATAGAGAAAACCACATTGGAGTGGGACAGGGATCCTTAAGGGGAGGTTACTGTATATAGGGAAAACCACATTGCACTGGGACAGGGATCCTTAAGGGGTGATCACTGTATATAGGGAAAACCACATTGCACTGGGACAGGGATCATTAAGGGGAGATCACTGTATATAGGGAAAACCACATTGCACTGGGACAGGGATCCTTAAAGAAATTAAGGGGAGGTTACTTTTTTCAGCAGCCAATATTTCTTCATAAAAACAAAATTTCCTTTTCATGAGATTTTTCATGAGAGTCGTTAGTACCTCAAATTGTATTTAACTTCAAACTTACTTCACAGATCACCTGCTTATATATTTTTTTAAATAGTGTGTTAACCTGCTAGTTTGGTAAAACACATTCATTTGATCTTAAATACTGCTCAGTTTACTTTCTTTTTATATCCCATTCCAGATAATGGGCAACTTTAATATTTAATCTTACAATAAATCATTCTTTCCTGCAAAAACAAAATATTTAATAGCTTTTGATGATATTTCAAAGAAGAGTCTAAAAGTGTAACACTCACAATTGAAATTACATCATCCCTTAGCCACAGCAAAAAATGTAACACCCAATTATTATCGACTGTTTTAGCCCGATTCATTAAACAGGCTCAAATAAGCTATAAAACGAGCAAATAGCTAAATTTAAAGTAGAGTAATTTCCCTTTCATTTGAGATATAAACCACATATGTATGTTTGACACATGTACATGTCTGTATCATCCTACAGGAAAGGTGGTCAAAACAAAAGCACAAAACTGTCCTTCTATCCAGCTAGATTTAAAAAAAAAAAAAAAAAATGTATCGGAACTAGACTGGGTTAATCGTCAGCGACCAGGTACCTCAATTGATAGAGCATCCATCATGGGTTGGAACCCAGGGCTGGCCATGCATTTTTCTATTTCCTGTTACAGTGGTGCAACTACCCAAACCTGGGTTGTAAATATGCTGATGTCTTCGTTTGGGGGTGAAGACTTAGAAAAACGGAGGGAGGAATGTATCAGAACTAGACTGGGTAAATCGTTGGTAGAGCAACCGCAGAGGCCCTGGTTCGAACCCCAGTCTAGCTGTGCATCTATTGTTACACAGAACTGCACTGTCCCTATATCAAACCAGTGAATTATGAAACTACACAACCTCACAAAGATACACCCCTGCTTCATCTTATCTAGGTATCTCTTGTCTTGGTGCCCCCCCCCCCCTATTTTATTTTTTTAAATTACATAAGAGTCAATCATCTCAAATAGACAGGGTAGTCACTCTTGTAAAAGTGTGTAGGTTTTTATGAGTTGTGACTGGGCCATCTCTTCAAACTGTCATACTCACTCTTGTAAAAGTATGTAGGTTTTTATGAGTTGTGACTGGGCCATCTCTTCAAACTGTCATACTCACTCTTGTAAAAGTATGTAGGTTTTTATGACTTGTGACTGGGCCATCTCTTCAAACTGTCATACTCACTCTTGTAAAAGTGTGTAGGTTTTTATGAGTTGTGACTGGGCCATCTCTGCGAATGATTTCTCATCGTATGCTGTGTCGTACTCCTTCAATTTTCTCCTGTCTTTTAAGTTCTTGCCTTTAGACAGACCTCCTTGAAACAAATCTTTACCTTTCTGTCAAAGCAGATGTACATGTACCAATATTAATATAAATACATACATACCTTCTACAACAAATATCTCTTCATCATTATAATTGAGATTATTTTTTTACTTGAAAGTTATAAAATGTTAGTTCTATTTTATTCATGTAATATTATTTAATTGATTCTAAATATTTTAGGCATATAAATAATTCAGAAATATGCAAAGAGGGGGGTGGGTTGGTATTATTGATTTAATTGTGCTTAACCCTACAGCACCAATCCATGTCATACAAAGCCAACAATACGACCACTGTAAGATGTCACTTACTTGTAGGGACAACAGAGAGGACTTCCCATCACCCTCTGGAGGTAAATACTGGTCAAATATCTCGTCTGAAATGAATAAACACCTTGTTATATATAAGATAAGAAGAATCAACGAACAACACCTAGCTAAATCTAAGTCAATCAGAACCACTATAACAACACTTTGAAAAGCCAATGAGAATAATTGTAACAACATTTTGTTATGTTATAATATCATTAACATAACTCCATTGGCCTGTTATGATGTCATCAACACTCCATTGGCCTGTTATGATATCATCAACACTCCATTGGCTTGTTATGGTATCATCACACTCCATTGTCATGTTATGATATCATCAACACTCCATTGTCATGTTATGGTATCATCAACACTCCATTGACCTGTTATGATGTCATCAACACTCCACTGGCCTGTTATGGTATCATCACACTCCATTGTCATGTTTTGATATCATCAACACTCCATTGTCCTGTTATGGTATCATCAACACTCCATTGGCCTGTTATGATGGCATCAACACTCCATTGTCATGTTATGGTAACATCAACACTCCATTGACCTGTTATGATGTCATCAACACTACACTGGCCTGTTATGATATCATCAACACTCCATTGTCATGTTATGATATCATCAACACTCCACTGGCCTGTTATGATATCATCAATACTCCATTGGCCTGTTATGGTATCATCAACACTCCATTGTCATGTTATGGTATCATCACACTCCATTGACCTGTTATGATGTCATCAACACTCCACTGGCCTGTTATGATATCATCAACACTCCAATGTCATGTTATGATATCATCACACTCCATTGACCTGTTATGATGTCATCAACACTCCAATGTCATGTTATGATATCATCAACACTCCATTGGCCTGTTATGGTATCATCAACACTCCATTGGCCTGTTATGGTATCATCACACTCCATTGTCATGTTATGATATCATCAACACTCCATTGTCATGTTATGATGTCATCAATACTCCATTGACCTGTTATGGTATCATCAACACTCCATTGGCCTGTTATGGTATCATCAACACTCCACTGGCCTGTTATGGTATCATCAACACTCCATTGTCATGTTATGGTATCATCACACTCCATTGGCCTGTTATGGTATCATCAACACTCCACTGTCATGTTATGGTATCATCACACTCCATTGGCCTGTTATGATGTCATCAACACTCCACTGGCCTGTTATGATGTCATCAACTCTCCATTGTCATGTTATGATGTCATCAATGCTCCATTGACCTGTTATGATATCATCAACACTCCATTGGCCTGTTATGGTATCGTCAACACTCCATTGTCATGTTATGATGTCATCAACTCTCCATTGGCCTGTTAGGGTATCATCAACACTCCATTGGCATGTTATGATGTCATCAACACTCCATTGGCCTGTTATGATGTCATCAACACTCCATTGTCATGTTATGATATCATCAACACTCCACTGGCCTGTTATGGTATCATCAACACTCCATTGTCATGTTATGATGTCATCAATACTCCACTGGCCTGTTATGATGTCATCAACACTCCATTGTCATGTTATGATGTCATCAATACTCCATTGACCTGTTATGATATCATCAACACTCCATTGTCATGTTATGATGTCATCAACACTCCACTGGCCTGTTATGATGTCATCAACACTCCATTGGCCTGTTATGATGTCATCAACACTCCATTGGCCTGTTATGATGGCATCAACACTCCATTGTCATGTTATGGTATCATCAACACTCCATTGGCCTGTTATGATGTCATCAACACTCCAATGTCATGTTATGATATCATCAACACTCCATTGGCCTGTTATGGTATCATCACCACTCCATTGTCATGTTATGATGTCATCAACACTCCACTGGCCTGTTATGATGTCATCAACACTACATTGGCCTGTTATGATGTAATCAACACTCCATTGGCCTGTTATGATGTCATCAATACTCCATTGGCCTGTTATGATGTCATCAACACTCCATTGTCATGTTATGATGTCATCAACACTCCATTGGCCTGTTATGGTATCATCACACTCCAATGTCATGTTATGATGTCATCAACACTCCATTGGCCTGTTATGGTATCATCACACTCCAATGTCATGTTATGATGTCATCACCACTCCATTGGCCTGTTATGGTATCATCAACACTCCATTGTCATGTTATGATATCATCAACACTCCATTGGCCTGTTATGGTATCATCAATACTCCATTGGCCTGTTATGGTATCATCACACTCCATTGGCCTGTTATGGTATCATCAACACTCCATTGTCATGTTATGGTATCATCACACCCCATTGGCCTGTTATGATATCATCAACACTCCATTGGCCTGTTATGATGTCATCAACACTCCATTGGCATGTTATGGTATCATCACACTCCATTGGCATGTTATGGTATCATCACACTCCATTGTCATGTTAAGATATCATCAACACTCCATTGGCCGGTTATGATATCATCACACTCCATTGGCCTGTTATGATATCATCAATACTCCACTGGCCTGGTATGATATCATCAATTCTCCATTGTCATGTTATGATATCATCAATACTCCATTGGCCTGTTATGATATCATCACACTCCAATGTCATGTTATGGTATCATCACACTCAATTGTCATGTTATGATATCATCAACACTCCATTGGCCTGTTATGATGTCATTAACACTCCATTGGCCTGTTATGATGTCATTAACACTCCATTGGCCTGTTATGATGTCATCACCACTCCATTGGCCTGTTATGATGTCATCACCACTCCATTGTCATGTTATGATGTCATCAAGACTCCATTTGCCTGTTATGATGTCAACAACACTCCAATGTCATGTTATGTCATCAACACTCCATTGGCCTGTTATGGTGGTATCATCAACACTCCATTGTCATGTTAAGATATCATCAACTCTCCATTGGCCGGTTATGATATCATCACACTCCATTGGCCTGTTATGGTATCATCAACACTCCATTGTCATGTCAGGATATCATCAACACTCGATTGGCCTGTTATGATATCATCAACCCTCCATTGTCATGTTATGATATCATCAATGCTCCATTGTCATGTTATGATATCATCAACACGCCATTGTCATGTCATGATATCATCAACACTCCATTGGCCTGTTATGATATCAGCACACTCCATTGGCCTGTTATGATATCATCACACACTCCAATGTCATGTTATGGTATCATAACACTCAATTGTCATGTTATGATATCATCAATACTCCACATATCATCAATACTCCATTGGCCTGTTATGATATCATCAACCCTCCATTGTCATGTTATGATATCATCAATGCTCCATTGTCATGTTATGATATCATCAATGCTCCATTGTCATGTTATGATATCATCAATACTCCATTACTCCATTGTCATGTTATGATATCATCAATGCTCCATTGTCATGTTATGATATCATCAATACTCCACATATCATCAATACTCCATTGGCCTGTTATGATATCATCAACACTCCATTGTCATGTTATGATGTCATCAACACTCCATTTGCCTGTTATGATGTCATCAACACTCCAATGTCATGTTATGTCATCAACACTCCATTGGCCTGTTATGGTATCATCACACTCCATTGTCATGTTATGATGTCATCAACACTCCATTTGCCTGTTATGATGTCATCAACACTCCATTGTCATGTTATGATGTCATCAACACTCCATTGGCCGGTTATGATGTCATCAACACTCCATTGGCCAGTTATGGTATCATCACACTCCATTGTCATGTTATGATATCATCAACACTACATTGGCCTGTTATGATATCATCAATACTCCACTGGCCTGTGATGATATCCCTTCATCCCAGCATGCTACATGCCCAATATCAGTATCCTGGGCCTTTTGGCTACTGAGAAGATGTTGTTTGAAGATTTTCACACATTTGACCCCTGTGACCTTAAACTTGGTCAAGGTCATTCATTTGAACAAACTTTCTAGCCATTCATACCAGTATGCAACAGGCACAATATTAGCACTCTTGGCATTTTGGTTATTGAGAAGAAGTTGTTTAAAGTAAAATATTGATGCCGGACGCCACACCACAGCATAAGCTCACTTAAATTGGCCCTTCGGGCCAGGTGAGCTAAAAATGTAGGAGGAGGTTGCCGGACAAAAATCAAATCCTGAAATAAACAAAGGGCAATAACTTTTGCAAAAATTGTCAATTCAGGAGGAATGTAGGAGATTGCCGGACGAGCAGACGGACGGACGGATGACGCCATACCATAATATTCCCGTCAAATTTGACAGGCATATAAAAACATAAAAGGCAGAGAAAATGTAAATATAAGTATTGAACTGTTTTTGTATGGCATTTATGATCTATTTGAAATTAGTGTACATTATGAGGTTTAGATCATAAATGCCATACAAAAACAGTTCAATGCTTAAGTAATGATGTATTGCTGCCTTACTTGTACATGTGATATCAATCGGATCATTGAATTCTCTCCTGGGTAATATGCCGTGCTGCTTCATGTGCATCCGTACTTTATCTGGTGTGTCCATGTCTGGTGCTTTATGGTCAAGTATTTTGTGCTAACAACAGAAATAGAAAAGAAACAAAATTGCTTAGCTGTCCCATTTTTTGTGTTTAATGTTAAACAGCAAAGTAGCAAGTTACACAACCTAAATCTTTTGATGATTTCAAATTCTGAAAAAGTATGCTGATTTTGATCTGCTGACAAAATTTCATTATATTCTCGATGTCATTTTGCTAGAAATAAAATTTTGGAGTGAAATCATGTGTAAATCACATTCTGACCCTGTAACATAACATTTTAAGGGTCAAAAGCCATTTTTAGAGGTCATATACCACCAAATAGAGCTAAACTATTTAAATGGGAGGCACAGTAATCAACTTGGTAGCCCTTTATCCAAGCATGTTACTGGCCAAAAATCATTATCCTATGCCTAAAGGGTATTCAGAAGATATTGTTTAAAGGTTTTAAACATATTTGACCCCTGTGACCCCTATTGACCAAATATCATTATCCTAGGCCTCTTGGGCATGCAGAAGAAGTTGTTTAAAGGTTTTGATTATATTTGACCTCTGTGACCTTGAAAATGAATGAAGGTCATTTGATTGAATAAACTTGGTAGTCCTTCATCCAAGCATGATACTGGCAAAAATATCATTATCCTAGGCCTCTTTGGTATTCAGGAGAAGTTGTTTAAATGTTTTAAACATATTTGACCAATGTGACCTTGAAAATAGATGAAGGTCATGTGTTTGACCAAACCTAGTAGCCCTTAATCCAAGCATGATACTGGCCAAATATTATTATCCTAGGCCTTTTGGGTATTCAGAAAAAGTTGTTTGAAGGTTTTAAACATACTTGACCCCTGTGACCTTGAAAATGGGTGAAGGTCATTTGTTTGAACAAACATTGTAGCCCTTCAACCCAGCATGCTCCTGGCCAAATATTATCATCCAAGGCTGTTTGGTTGTTGAGAAGAAGTTGTTTTAAAGCTTTTAAACATATTTGACCCCTGTGACCTTGAAAATAGATGAAGGTCATTCAGTGGAACAAACTTGGTTGCCCTTGATTCCAGCATGCTACTGGCAAAATATCATCATCCTAGGCCTTTTGGTTACTGAAAAGAAGTTGTTTAAAGTAACAAGAGGCCCATGGGCCTTAATGGTCACCTGAGTTATATAAAGACTGATGTTATCGATGTTACCAAATGAAAAAGAAATCATGTAATGCAAAAGTAGTGTGAAAAATCTGGGTAGTATATGAACTATGTACAAATAGTGGTATTGTCAGTCAGCTGAATTTTTGTAAAGCACCTTAGGACCCTTCCATCTATGAAGAGTATTTGATTCTACCATATCTGGATCTTGAGAAAAAGAATTTTGAAATTTTATTCAATTTGACCCTTTTTGGCCCCGCCCCCAGGTCTCTGGGGGCTGGGGACCATATAATTCACAATTAAACTATAGTAAAGTGTAACCCCTCCCCAGGGGGAAACGTGAGACCCCAGGGTCATGAAATTCACAATTTTGGTAAAGCACCTTAAGACCCTTTCAACTATGAAGAGTATTTGATTCTACCATATCTGGGTCTTGAGAAGAATATTTTTGAAATTTCAGTCAATTTAACCCTTTTTGGCCCCACCCATCAGCCCCTCGGGGTCAGTCAGGGCTGACATGATATGTGCATATCATCAAACTGCTATTCAATGCTGATAATGCTAACCAAGTTTGAATTAATTCCAATGGAAATTAAACAGATGCTGGTCCAAAATGTGATTTCCTTATATAAACTATAGTATAGTATACCCCCTCCCCATGGAAGGTTTCTGCAAAATTTCATTGAAACTGGTTCAGGGGTTTTGGAGAAGTTGAAAATGTGAATTTTTTACGGACGCATGACGGACAAAAAGCGATCGCAATAGGTCACTTGAGACTTTGTCACATGTAACCTAAAATGTTGATGCCGGACAGACGGACAACAGACGAAGGACAACAGACCTTCGGGCAGGTGAGCTAAAAATTGAAATGAGAAACAAAAATTATCACAATAATGGCCGTACTATTAATGGTATAGTTGTGTTTTTCCTCCTGGCCTTCCTTCCCCTTTGATCATAATGTTTATTACTGGCAAACCTAACAGGTTGCTGGACCACCGTTCCACCATAAGCACCAGCACAGGTCAGGATCTTCTGAAAAATTAGAAAGGTTGAATAGATTTACAAAAGCAGTCCATAATAAACACAAACTTATTAAAGTGATATCCTTGCATCGCTCCCATTTACTGATGTCACCTGGACATATCAGTAAACGGGAGAAATGCGAAGACATACTTTTAATTAGATTGTAATAAACACTTCTATTTAGTCAAATGACAACCTGAAATTTGAGTCGATACCAAAATTATATATCTCCTAATGAAAGTGTACTTAGTTAATAATGACTTGACCTGAAGCCAACGTCCAGTTTCATCTTTTGGGAAAGCCGGTGATGAAAATAGCTACGACCGAAATAGCTCAATATCCGGGCCTTTCAGTGAGAAGGCAACATGTACAGCACTATGCTGTCGACCGACAACACAGTGTCAGTTATGAGTCTGAGTTCACACATAACACATATTATTTTAATATTTTCATTTTTCTCAAACTGAAAATTGTTTCCATGTAGTACATGCGCTTGGTTATTTATCCTTAGCTTAAAAATAGCATCAGTTAATACTGATAATACGTATATGCCGAATTGACATTCCCAACATGTTGTGTCCTGTGTACATGTTGTACATCATATAGTGTTGACAATACATTCACTGAAGCCAACTAAAATTAGCTATACCACATTATTTAGAATATTTTTATTTAGTTTATTCTTATTCCTACAGTTCTGTGCACATATTTTTTTTTCATTTTTTAACTACATTCTAGGCAGGAACACATAATGGATATCTTTTCAGTACTTTACGGTACCACCTGAAGAAAAAAAACAAATAGACCTGTAATTGATGCTAACAATTAAAACAACGAACCAGGGAAGATCCATAGCGACAGGGTTCAATATGGGGTTAGGGTAACTTGTGAAAACCGGGGCAAGTTCAGCCCTGGGGTAACTCTGGCAACTCCTGATATTTTAGCCTTGAGCAAATATTTTGAGGATTTTAGCAGTGCAGTTAACTGGGCTGGTAATTCATAGGAAAAATAATGATGTGAAAACTATAATTTTAGATTACTAAAAGCGAGAAAATTATTTTTTGGGAGGGTAGAACGAAAATTATGACCTAACTTCTTTCTAGTTTTGCAAACTTTTTATAAACCGAAATGCTACTTATTGATGGCATACGTGTAACACTTAAACAGACAGCTTTACATGATGGTATACATGGTATACATGGTATACATGGTATACATGGTATACATATTCAAGCCTAGCATTAAGTTTCGTATAGCTCTGATATACAGACTTGTTAAAATATGAATTTTGGGCAGGTTCGTCCAATGGGATATACAGGAAGCCTGGCATTGGCGGGAAAATTTGACATTGCATGCTTCCTGATGTCATAATTATGCATGTCCCAGACAACCTGTCAAACTTACCCCAAAGGCAGTGCACATTAGGCCAGCTGGCAGGGGTTTGGGTAGGGATGAGGAATCCTTAAAGTTACCCCCCCC